TCCTCCAAAAGGTAGTTATAGAGGTCGATATGAAAATCCGTTCGACCCCCACCACTACCCGATGCACCGCTAGTAGAGTCGGTTACACTTGCAAAAGTGTTTGACATATTGCCATATTTTGTAGCGTAAATGTCAAACAAATTAGTAAAAGTATCATTAAAAATGTTTATTTGGTTACGGATGTAGTTTGAGTTATCTTTGTGCAAATTTAAAGACATAGCAATTTTGGTAATCAAAGCCTCTACACCCGTAACATTGATACATGGGTTTAATGCTGCGGCGCAAGTAAAAAGTGGTGGCATTTCTTTGAAATATTTGACTAGTTTTTGTCTCATTGGTCTCGTAACCAAAACAAATATTTCACTTCTTTGTTCAAAACGTTCCAATTGTGCGGACATCAACCATAATTCATTTAGTAACAACGGACTTGTAGGGTAATACACACCCGATAGAAAAGTGGTTGATTGTTTAAAAACTTTTAACATTTCCACAAACTCTTCCATCAAATCCCAATCATAATCCGAAACCGGGTTTTTTCCTTTTGAAATTGTGTCGTAAAATAATTGCAAAGCGATTCTTTGACGTGTCAAACTTTCAAACATCATGCATGTTGAACTCCATCTAGTGTCACAATCCCAATGAGGACTATATGGAGTTACGTTAATGGAAATGGCAAACTTTCGATATTTTTCCATTGTAGCTTTATGTCTTCCAAAAACTCTAGTTAACACAGTTTTGAATTTTTCAATCGTCGAATCTATCATTTTTAAACCATCTTGTACCGCAAGATTAATAATGTGACAAACACATCTAGTATGAAAAAACGAGCCATCCAAAATAGGTTTATATTTTGCAATTAATCTTTTTGCCGCTGCGGTATTGTTACTTGCATTGTCAAACGAAATAGAGAAGATTTTGTCGTGTAAATTATAAGTCTCTATAACGCTTACTAAAATTGCAAATAATCTTGCCCCCGTGTGAGGATGCGCAAAAAGTTCAAAAGCAATAACTCGTTTGTTCATTACCCAAGTAGAGGGATCTATCCAATGTGCCGTGACACAAAGATAGCTTTTGGGACAACTACCGGCGGAGGACCAAACGTCACAGGTTAAAGAAACACCGGTTTTTATATTTAAAAATCCCAATTGCATATCTTTTTTGGCTATATCCCAATACTTTAAAGCATCACGTCTAAGAGAAGTGCGACTTACTTGCCGGTATTGCGGTTGCATTTTTTCCCGCAAAATCCTTGTTAATCGTGGGTTGTCGAAGTGGTTGAAAGGATAGCCCTCTTGAATCACGAACTTGCAAAAGCTTTCACGAAGGTCATCATTGTTGTAAATGAAGATCGACTCGTCGGGAGTAATATTTGGTTGACTTGGATCGCTTTGACCTTTTACAGCCGGACAAGTTTTTGTTGTATGACTCCTTAACGTGCTATTGCCATCTTTTCCCAAAAACATTCCGCACTTCTTGCATCTCGCTTTTTCCTTCCCGTTCGACAACAAACACAAATCGTAATGTTCCCACACTTCTTTACTCCGAGTGGTTGGTATGATTTTAACCACCGTTGCATCCGAATCTTGACCCGCGGTTGAATTTCTCGAGCTCATTTTTTGAGTATTATGAGAATAAGTAGTAAATTTTTTGTGTAAAATTGAAATGTAGCAAATGAAAGGTATATATAGGTGTTTAGAAGTGCCAAAAAGTCAAAAAAAGTCAAAGTAGCCGTTTTATTTAAGTTCCAACGGCTAGTTTTTTTTAAAAAAAAAAAAAAAAAAAATTGAAAATTCCCGTTTTTTAACGGTAACAAAAAAACCGGTTTTGGATCCGGTTCCTTCAAAATCCGGTTCTCGATCCGGTGGTCAAATCCGATTCGCATTCGAAGTCTCGATCCGGTTTCAAACCGGTGGCCGGTTCAATCCGATCCGGTTCGGTCAAAACCGGTTTTGACCAAATCCGGTTTTCGGATCGGATCGGATCCTAAAGCCCAATCCGGTTTTTGTGTGCATGTCTATCAAGTTGAAGACAAAAGGGTTGGCAATGGTCTATGGCAGCAGCAGAAGAGTAGGAAATGGATGCTGACTGACGGCGGAAGAGTTAACGATGGAAGATATCAGCAACGAAGGATGGGGTTGATAATGGATGATATTCAATGGCGTAAGGGTGAGTGTCGATATGGTCTTTACGTTTTGAATGGTTCTTGAAAAAAAAAAGCCCTAGAATCGTCCCTTCAATTTTGTGTATGTGAGAGAGAGAGAGAGAGAAAGAAAGAGAGAGAGAGAGAGAGAGAGAGAGAGAGAGAGAGAAATAGAGAAATAGAGAAAGAGATAGCCATAAGTGTGTGCTCTTGAAAAAATCCCTAGAATCGTCCCTTCAATTTCATGTTTTCAGATTCTTTATGCTGATTAGGGCGGCATCTGTTGGCAAGACGGTGGTTCTCATGGAGAAATTTTATTTTGAAAACATGTTGAAGGCGGTGGAGAAATATAAGGTCACGTACATGCCTTGAAGCAGAGATGGTATGGTGATTAGGGTTTGTACAGAGAAGGGAAGAAGAGAGTGAAGAAGATAGTGAAGGATATCTTAAAGTGAGGTATTTCAAAATTAGAATTTTAAAGGATTTCATTTCAGAACGAGCGTTTTAAGTAAAAGTTTATAAAGCGACATTCACAGAGGACGCACATTTAAAGTAAGCGTCCTCCGTGTTTGTAATTTTTTTTATGGGATAATAATTTTAGGGCACGCACAAATGCGTGTCATTTATCCTTCAAATTTTGCAAAAGTAACGTTATTTTTTAGGGCACGCACAAATGTGTGTCCTGTATCAGCGTGTGTCATTGTTTGCGTGTCATTAAATGACTGTTTTCTAGTACTGTAAGGAATGTACTGTAGAAAAAATCTGATACATTGTTATTCACTTATAAATAACAAAAGCTGAAACTACCAAAAAAAAACGTAAGTTTTTATTGTATTTTAAAACTATATCAATATGGATGTTTATTTATAGAGAATAAAAAATTATGAATTTTGATGTATTTAAAATCATTTTTCGATAAAAATAGATCCTTAAAAATTAAAAAACAAAAACAAAAACAAAAACAAAAACAAAAAAACAAAAAATATATATGTTTTTGTATATATTTATTAAGGTAATGATTAGTATAGTTTAAGGAAACATGTTTTGTTGGAAAACACATGTTTATTCATTTCTCATTTCCGTCGGTACGTTAGAATCTTTTGCAGCAAAAATAAATGATTGGCTGATAAATGATTCTCCAACCCTCCTCCATTTATTCCCTCATTTTGGGGCATATGAATAGTATTACACCAAATATGGTGTTATACTATTCATTTCTCCAAAAATAGGGATGAACTTTGTGTTGTCGGTTTTAGTCCCTTTGTTTATATATTTAGATATTTCTAGTTCATTTTTACCTACTAATTATAATTTAAATATAATATTTAATACTTAGAATATTTTGTTATATATTAAATTATATTAATTAATTATAAGTGTAAAGTTTGTTTTTTGTTCATCAAATTCATATAAAAATTTAAATACATATTGAAATTTTTAAAAACAATAACGTATTTTACAAAAACTTATAATTAAAAGTGTGTATGTCTAATATTTATATAAATGTATGTATAATATTTATTTAAAAGTATGTATGTGTAATATTTTTTATAAATACATGTATAATATTTATTTATAACTTTATTATAAATATAATCTTTTGTATTTAAAACTAAATTAGTAGAGAAATGTGTTTAAATAGCAAAGTAAGTTTGAATAATGGAATATAATAAGAATATATTTTTTTGAGGTAAAAATGAAATAAAAATGGAATAGATTTGAAGATGAAACACTATTTTTTTACTTTATTTTTTTTGGAAGGAAATAAAAATAGATTGAAGATGGTGTAATGGAATATAAAGGTGTAAGACTTGAAGGTTTAATGCTTAAAGCTTTGTTTTGGGCTGAATGGAATATAATTGTTTTGGGCTGAATGGAATATAAAGGTGTAAGACTTGAAGGTTTAATGCTTAAAGCTTTGTTTTGGGCTGCTTTATAGTTTGGGCTAATTTTGTTTTGGCCCAAGCTTTGTTTTGGGTTAAAGTAGAAGATACTATGAATTTCTTCTCCATGTTCTATAACATTCTGTTTGTTAATACATTTTGATATTTGTCTAGTCTATTTCACGGGGATGGGGTCCATGCGCCTCTGTCAATTGAACTACAGATACTTTACATTTTCTAAACAGCATAGAATTAATGTGAGGAATTTTCTCACCTACGATTCTATGAAACATGTTAGTATTTTTCTGAAAATCTCAATCCGGAGCATTAATTCATTTAGAAATATTATATGTTTATATTTTAGTGAAATGCTGCATCATTATAAATGAAATATTGCAACATTCACTGTAACATAGAAAATGAAAACAATATTACGATACCACATGAGTGACTCCAATACTCATAAGTTGGTTGTTAAATCTTGATAATGCTGAGAAGTATATTGCTTTTGGGCGGTTGGTATCAAGAAGTAAACCTGTTAAATACCGGAACACATCCACTTTGCCGTTTAAAAATAAAACATTAAGCATACATTTATGATCGACTATTAATTTTTAACTACTTTGGGTAATGTCATTTTCACATTTAATGTCTGCAGACATGACTAGAACTAATTAGACGTCTTTAATTGAATATTAATACTATCGGAAGCATAAGAAGAATAGCAGTATGTATACCCCAAAAAACTGAACATGGTCAAACATTCATTAAATCCCATTGCTTAAATAAAATTAAACATCAACAAATCTGGTCAAACTTTATGTTACTTACATCTGTATAAAACTGTTCATGAAAAATTTCTGTAAAACGGTTATTCTTTCATCCCACACCCACAACAACCCGACCCTACAAATCATGTACACAGTGGCCCACTACAAGAGGCCAATCCATTAGTGATGAAAATTTGATTTGGAAAGTCAGCGGAGTTTCCTATGGGACTTGAAACGAGAAGGGGGAGAGGGGGAATATTCCACAGGTAAAGGTGGTGGCTCTAGATCCCCAGAGAGCATAGCGACTACTTCTTTCATAGAAGGCCGAAATGCAGGCGATTTTTGTAGGCAAAGAAGTGCAACTTTAATACAAACTAAAGCTTCATCCTTATCTAAACTATGAACAGATTGATCCACAAGATCAAGAAGCTTCCCTGCTCGTGCAAGATGACGTGCCCATGATAAAAGATTTGCCCGTTGAAATTCTGACATTGGGGATCCAGTCACTTGTAATGGCCTCCTTCCAGCAATCACAACCAACAGGAGAACCCCAAAGCTATAAACATCACACTTTTCTGATAAATCACCACCACATGAATACTCAGGGGCAACATAACACACGGTTCCCCTCATGCTTGGTGTACTGCTAATGCCGCCGCTTTTCGGTATCTCACCGCTTACTGAGTCATGACTGGTGTGGCGTTGCCGCCAGAGTTCACCGCTGAATCCATCCAACCACCAATCAACACTGCCTCTGCTACCTCTGCTTCTGCTTCTGCTCCTCTTCTTTCTGTCCATGTACATTTCATCGTCTTTTGAAATGCTATCAGTATTGATGGATTCGTTTCTCTGTTTCTTCTTGTTCTTCTTTTTCTTTCTTGCGAGTTCTTCACTGTATTCCTCCTTCCACCATTCCCTGGCTGGTCTTCTTTTCTGTTTCTTCACGTTCTTGTCTTCATCCAATGACATCCACCAATCGAGTCGCTTTTTGTTCTTCTTTGGCTTCTTCTTCTCTGATTTTCCTGTTTGAGTTGCACTGGATGAAGCTCCGGCTGTGATCCATTCGGTTTTTGGTCTCTCTTTTTTTATTTCACTCCCAATCCATTCCATCACGTAATCCTTTACACGTCCTGATTCAGACATGCTGTTGTCTTGTTTCCACCACCAATCCTTCCCTGACATACTCGTCTTTCTTGTCCTGCTTTTCTTCGAAGTAGCACCACCGCTCTCCAGGCTTATGACATCGAGATTTCCCTCTGAGAAACTCACATCACCTGCCGGACCTGTTTTTGGCGATTGGATGAACGTCTCTGGTGATGTCTCAGCAATCGGAGCTGTAACAAAACTTTCAGGTGACTGATCCGGAACTATACTAAACTCTTCACAGACTGTGGTGGTTGCCAGACTCTCAGTCTCCTCGAAGACTGATCCGTTATCCTCGATTATTGAATTACCTACCTTTTTCCCTTCCTCGATCTTAATATTCAAGTCAACTCGACATTCGTCTTCTGGTTTTAACCTAGCTAAACCAAAATCCCCAATCTTCGCATTGAAATTATGATCTAAGAGTATATTACTAGGCTTTATATCACCATGAATAATCGGTGGATCACAATAATGATGGAGATACTCGATACCTTTAGCGATATCAATTGCAACCGACAGCCGCTTTTTCCACTCCTTTAGCTCCGGAGACTTGCGATGAAACAAGCAATCTTGTAAGCTTCCGTTATTCATGAGCTCGTAAACAAGCACCATTCGCCGTCGTCTCCTATCGGAAGAAAAACCAACAACGGCGAGGATACGATCAGAATCGATTTTTCCGGCAAAGAAGAGCTCGTTCTGAAATTCGCGCTCGCCTTGGAGAGAACCGGCGTCCATGACCTTAACGGCAACATCCTGGACCTGGCTATTAATTAGGGTTCCACGGTAAACGGAACCGAAACCGCCTTGACCGAGGCGGTTTGAGGGGGAGAAGGAAGAGGTAGCGTGGCTGAGAGCCGTATAGGAAAACTTGTGCGGAGGTTTAGAGTCGGAAGGGGCGGTGCGTTTTCGTGTTGTAAACTTGCGGAAGCAGAGGGTTAGGGCTATGAGGAAAGAGAAAGCAACCGCTAGCGGAGGAGCAAGGCGGATTTGGTGCTGGTCAGGTGGCTGTGGCTGTGGAGATGGAGACGGAGACGGAGGCGGAGGTAGTCGAGATGGCATGATGAGAGAGAGAGAGAGAGAGAGAGAGAGAGAGAGTAATTACATGGACAGCTATACGACTATCTAAAGATCGGATCAGAGCAGGATCTGTGTGTTTTTGACTTCGCTTTTCTCTTCTTCCCAATACCAAATGCCAAAAACCCTTTATAATAAATATATTTATAAACCAAAGAACTATTTTTTTTTTTTTTTTTTTTTTTTTTTTTTAATTTCAATTCAGTTATCAATATTGAAAATTATTAATAAACAATTAAATCTGGAAGAAAAAAATTACTTTGAGAAATAGGGAATGTATTTGCATATTCAAATTTTTATAATTATTTAGAATAAATTTGGTATAATTTGGTTGTGGCTATTTTTACATAACATCATATAAGATACTTCCTTTTTTATAAAGCTACTATCTTCGTTTATGATATACTTTCCAGTGAAGATAATTACTTTATAGACCAAATTATATAATTAATATTAATACAAAATAAACAACGAGTGAAAATACACCAACAACTCACGATAAAAACATTAACACAATTAAATTGTTGAGCGTTCAAATAATCAGAAATTGAATTTTACATAAATGGTTAGAAGGACCAATTATATTACTATTAGTCTATTAGGAAGCAAACAAGGGTTGCGTTCTTCATTTATTAATATGTATTTGGGATTAGTTTAACATTTTGACATGGTCAATGATAGTGCCTGCTATTGACCTGTGTAGCATACTCAATACTCTTCCTAAATCTAATTATTTTATTTTTGACAAATTTTTATTTGACTTTCAAAACTGAAATTATTACAATATGCAACATTATATTAACAAAAGATACATATTATTACAACAGATTTATTTAAAAAAATTTGACTTGTATATTCTTCATAACTATGACAGCGATATTATATTTAATCTAAGGTTACTAGGCTGGCATGTCGTTTTTTATTGCATTTGTTATACGAGATGGAACAGTAAATGAATACCTAACTAATTAACAAATTATGTATTATAAATAACATTAATAATACGAATAATGAAACAGAAAGGCAAAATTTTGTTTTGTATATTGAGTGAATCTCAAGGGTCAAGCCCATCGTCTCTTACCTTAATTTGCTATAAAATATGATTTTTATATTATTGCAATAATCTCAATTTATGTCATTTCAAAATAAAATTATCATGTTATATTTTGTGTAACAAAAGAAATTACGTATTTAGATTATTATAATGTTCTTATTAATATTTGGTTAATTACTCTTAATATGACGTAACCTATAAGTTAGAATGATATAATGGCGTGGCTGTAATTAACTTTGGCCTTTGGGGCAACTTATAATAATTCTAAACAATTCCACACCGACTACGTCCTTTTATTATTATTATTTTTATTCATTTTAAATTGGAAATAAATGTGATTAATTTTACAACGGGCAGTTGGTGAGGTGTGAAACATCCACTTTCTTATATTAACTTTCTTCACCGAATCTAATTGCCTAAATTCATTTCAATTGATGGGTTATTCATTTATTTTGGGACACGTATTTCACAAAGTAGTATATTTAATTTTTTTTGTTCAGCTACGTGTAATTAGGCGACATAATAATAATTCTGTTAAAATGTGATTTATTTCGAGAGGGCCATAAAAAGAGGAAGGGATGGAGGGAAAATGGGAGAAAGATTGTTAGAATCAAAATATGTGAGAAAGCAAACAAAAGGAAGGTCTTTTTAAAAGAAATTAAAACCTAAGCGTGTTTTTTAAAAGATGTGTTTTTAGACATATAACAAGGCATTTTGAGACATATGATCTCAAATTTCACATATAATAACATTTACTTAATTTTTTTTTCTAGCTAGAAAAGAAGAAATAAAGAAAAGAAAAAGTGGATAGAAGAGAATAGGATGCTTTAACTTTAAGTTCTAGAAACTTAGATAATTAAACCTTTTGATCTTTTTTATCACACAGCCTTTTGAGGATCAAAAACAAAGGGGGCAATATTCCTGCAGATGATTTAACAATAAAAAAAAAGTAACAATGATGCCCCAATCAACTTTAATGGGTAAAAAGTTGGGCCAAATTTTGAACTTGGATGATTTCTTGCTCCGACTTGTCACAATCAAACTCTTCCTCAAACGAATCACATTCTAACTCATTGATTTTCTCACAAAAACCACGTTTTATGCGATGTGTAATACAAAACTCTGTTGCATGTCTTCTAATTTTGAATTCAAAATTAGTTTTAGTTAAGTTTTCTAATATTTACCAAAAAAGGCACAATGAAATTTGTACTGATTTTAATTGAAAATTTTGTTCTTTAAAATATAAAAAAGGTATAATAATTGTTTTACATAGAATTTGGAATAATTAATATTAACTGAGGTTGACTGATATGCATAATTTGTTGTGTCTTATTTTTGAATATTATCCCTAAGTGACTTATAATCAAATAATTAACTGTGGATAGTTTGACTGTTTTATATTTACTTTTAAAAGATCAATTTTATTGTACTAACTTCTTATTGTATAATTAATTATTATGATGTAAAGTTTATACTGTGTACGTATTTGTCTCTTTTTTTGTATATGTGTGATAATATTCTCACTTATGTGATAAGCTTATTGAATAACGATGGTATATTTTGTCTATTTATCTTGTTGAATCGCTTGCTTCTTTATAATATGGAAAGTGAATATTCAGAAGAGTGCATGTGTGAGACCATGTGGAAACTAATGACTTTGTATTATGTGTATAACTTATGTGATACGACGGTTGTATATTAAATGGACCTACCCTCCGAATGCAACTCCACGTCCTAAGGTCTTTTCGCTGTCTTTTATAATATAAACAATCAATATAAATTTTGTATCTACCAAAATATCCATAAATTATTTTTAAATGGTGATGGATACACAAAATTAAGTGATTGCATTTATCACTGGTTATCTAAATCCTCATATTCAAGGAGAATGGTCGTTTTTAAGGCATAAGATAGAAGGCACAAATGATTGGATAAGTGGTTAGCATTGAGTAATCGACATCTTTTTAAGGTCGTCAAATTATGGATGACCATTGATGGCAAATGGGATAATACCGTAATACATTGGTAAAAATAAATAAATAAATAAATAATGGTTTTTTAAATGGATTTGAATAGGGGTGAGAATGGTGCGGTTCGGTGCGGTTTTGGACCAAACTGAACTGTAAACCGCAAGTTGCGATTATTCATAAGGAAAAACCGAACTTTGCGATTTTGTTTCGGTGCACTTTTGCGGTTTTTCTTGCGGTTTTGCGGTTATTTCAGTTTTTTTAACCAAAAAATATATTGGTGTGGTTTTGCAATTAAATTAATATGGTTTTTCATATCTAAAATAAAACAACTCGGTCAAAAATGGAACCAAAAGTCAAAATCAGAACAATTTAGATTAAAATGAAACCAACTCGGTCCATAACAGTTTAACTTTGTGGAATAAACCACTTCGTTCAAAGGAACAACCGATCGGCAAAACCAAATCTCTTACACATAGAATCTTTAGCCATGTCCATTCCTCATTTTCTTTTTCTTTATCAAACGATGTGGGATAGCCACAACAAACAAATTTATGTGTTGCATTTTTTACACATTTTCTTTTATTATTTTGCACACACAACACATTCCATTGCCCCATGCTTATTCCATTCAAAAGATTAGGATATGATGCGGTCTGTCGTTCTAGCGGGATTAACACTTTTACTCTTGAAGAGTTTTTCATTTCTTGCAAGTCAAATGTTCCGGATGGTAGAGTAGACAATCATGAAAATACGTGCTCCTTTTCTTATAAGAGTTCCCCCATAAAGCACCATAATCAATAAGATCCCTTACATACCCAAAATGAATTTGTGAAATCCCACACCATCTAAATATCCAATGGAAAACTGCCATGGAGTAATCACATTCAACCAGAAGATGATTTGTTGTTACAACTCCGGTTCCACATAATACCCTTATGTATAACGCACCAGCAACTCGAATTCTTCTTATAGCCGCTCTCCATACAAAACATTTAACCTTTAAGGGAATAAGTTTTGACCACCAGATTTGAGATTTGTTCTCCTGCATATTGGTTAATCTTTAAATCCATAAATCACCTCCGAATTCTTACCAAATACTCACCTTCTGTACTAAGATTGAACCTAAATCTAACATTTATAGAGGATCTGAGATCAATTGTGCCCATTAATTTTTAAAATTCATAAAGTTCCAAAATAGATCTTGTATTATTTTGGATTGGATCTCCATTTCTAAGAAAAACCAGAGGGGCACAATTGATCCATAAATGTGCTTATTTTGATCAATTCCAGATTGTAAAGGAGGGGGAACCGATTTTGCAATACAACGTCACCACACCATACATCCTTCCAAAAGAGTATTTTTACATTTTCTCCAAGTACCAAAGAGAACACGCCGTCTGGGTCGATATTATAGGTTGTAAGACTCATGATTGCATTGGATATATTACTCCATATACCTATTGCATTTTTTCTCACAAGATAAGAATTAGGTTGTTTACTAATATTATGAATGTTATTGATAACTTCAGTCCATAAATAGCCTATTTCAGTTTCCAGTCGCCCCCACCATTTAGTTAGCAAAGCGATGTTTTGTACCTTTAGTATACCCATGCCAAGATTGGATTAATGTAGGGCACAAAAGGAGTCAAATGCATGGTTTTTGTGAAAAATCATGTGTCACGACATAACCATAGGGTGGTTACAATGTGAAGATCCATTATGTGAACGCGTATCCGGAGAATTGCCACGAAGTGATTATGGCTGCAGCCCAAGCCCATGGTCTTTTAGAGTTTCCTTCATATTTAAACCACCTAATCTCGAATTTATGGTGTCATTTCTAGCCTCCATCACCCTCTTGATCCTTAAAGCAAACCCTAATAACCTCTTATCAATTTTTAACTTTATTTTGGTGTTTTGGATTGTTTTTGAAGGGAGAAGAAGGCTTAGGAAGTGTTGAGAGC